TTCCATTTTTGGTAGAAGAAATTACCTTATCACAGCCCTTTCTCCAAAACTGATTTTTGTTTTGCCTTTTTTCTTTTTTGAGTGGAGGGAGGTGCGTTGTTTTTTCAGGGATCCAAAACTCAGCAATTCACACAGTAATTCTCCTTGCTGCTGTAAAAATACGCACATCTTCCCAGTGGATTAAGCCATCTTGCTCACAAGACTAGCCAGTCCGGAACTCTGCCAAATGCTATATTTACATTTCCAAACTAGAATCTGTTTCTAATACATTTTTATGGGGCGTTTTGACCCTTTATATTTATTGTTAATGAGCTTTCATTTCTATAATAGCCTTTTATCCCAAAGGATCCTGAAGAGCAATTGTAATAACCTGCCATACAAAATATACGCAGAAATCAATTTGCCCACCATTGAAATGTAGCCACAACTGGAGGAGTGGAGAGCAAGCGACTGTTTAGCAGAAAACTCTGTGGGGCTGCAGTGCTGTTTCCATTTGAGTGATGGGGTGAGTTAATTACCTGAACTGGCCGATGGCCAGAAGAGCAGGGTTCAGCCATAGGGCTGCAAAGCAGCTTGCCAAGAAGAGACATGACCACAAGTGCTTGGGGCCTCAGGCATTCGGGTTGTCCAGTGGCCACCAGCAGCTGAGCGCTCCTGCAGCACGGAGATGGTGCTGGCAAAGCACCTGCTGGCACAGCACCGCAGCCAGCCCGCTCCGGACAGACTCGGTCCCAAGGGAGCTTGCACAAAACTGAAGCACATCCAGAACCAGAGCTCGTGATCTTCTGTCTCTGAGGGCGAGCTGGGCCTGCTGTAACATCACAATCCCACGTAGCATGAACTCTTGCTGGTTTTAACCGCAGGAACTGCAAAGTGCTAGACTTTCCTTGACCATTTGCAGCTCGAGAAAGCCAGCATTCAACCATAGCCCATGCAGATGGGGAGCATAGAAGAGGTAAGTAATAACGTTATCATCAATCACTGATTTCCACAGGGAAGTCCGAGTGCTCAGTTTGTCTAAAACTCTACGGACTGAGCGGTGTAAATATTTTATTAATGGCTGCCTCAGTTTTCAGCGTTTTCATTATTGCTCACACCAGTGTTGCTCACACTTTGTTTTATCAGCGAGGGAAACCAGGGGGTGCCTTGTTCAGACTCCCCAAGCGTGCGCTAAGGGAGGTTTGCCAGCTGCAGAGCAGGGCCCTCTGTGCAGGCAGCAGCCAGCTGCCTGCAGACCAAGGATGCGATGCACTTCTACAGCGGCAGCTTGGGATGCTAAAAAGGGCTCTAGCTCTTACTATGGCAATCCCGGTGTGTCAGAGCAGAGCAGGGCACTGGCAACACAAAGATGAACTGTATAACCTGCCGTAAGAGGCTTTACCATTTCCTCTTGCTCTGCTTCAAACGTTCATATTCTGCCTACTGCAGAACAGAAGCCTCTTCGGCATTAATCCTGTCCAGTGTTTTCCCAGTGCTGAGCAGTTCAGGCATAATGCCATTGCATTATTGCTTTCCTCTACCTCAACTTGCCATGGATTATTTTCCATGATGTAGCCACCCACAACCCATCAAATGACTCTCAGCCACCCTCCCAAGTAATATTCTCAATCAGAAGGACTTTACCTTAACTTGCCTGCAAACACCCTGTCAAATGCCCACGGGTGTGTGTTGTGGGGGGCAGCAGTGCCTCAGAAAGACACCGGTCCAGGCCAGAAGGTGACCTGAGTACCAGAGACCTCTGACTTTGCTGGGAAGTCGTATAACGCCCTGAGTGGGAACCCTTTAATACCACTGACACTGCATGGTGTTTTAAAAAAGCGTGCAAGGCAAAAGGGACAGCAGGGAAGAGCCTTCCCTCCGCTCCCACCCCTCCTCTAAGTCATTTTCTGTGGCCTATTTTACAGGAACTGAAAATCTATTAGAGCAATAGCTTAATCCGTTTTGACTGTAATAATTAGGGTGCTTTTAAAAAAACCCTGACTAATCGTATAAAATGTGATTGTAGACAGTTCAGTGCATGACCCTTACACTTATCACTTGAGGTATTATTACAAACCCAAAACAGCTGGCAAGCATAGAGGAGAAGGCTAAAGGAAAAAAGAATCACATGCAGAGGGACATGGACTGTTCCTTTTCTGATCTTGTAACAGAGTACTGACAGCACCTTGAGCTGCCTTTCTAGCATGGATCCAAAGCATGAAATCACCTCCAAGAGTCAATCAGGCCCTCAAATGATACTACTGCTTTTGCAGACCGTGCCCCTTCCTCCCCTGCAACTAGGCCTTACCTTTAGCATCTTTCTTTCTTGCACTGTTTTTTCAGGGAGTCCAAAAAGACTGGAATGACTGGTGGAGCTATTCCCTTTGGGCACCCTGCAGTCGGCAGATGTTTGTAGCAACAATGGGCAGCCTTTCCAAAACAAGCCAGGCTGTATTAGTCAAGCAGGATATAGTGCTTTAGGGTCACTAGGTTAGAACAGAAAAGCAATGCTTACGTATATGACTTGGCTAGTAGTATCTCTTTTTCTCTTGTTCTCAAGCCTTCTGAGGCTTAAACAGCCACAATTGCTTCCTTCCCTTCCCGAACTTATGCTGAGAGGCAGCTGAGTTCCCATCATGGCATCCCCACACCTTTAGTCGTGCTATTTTTTTTCCACATGTTCTGCATCCATTGATTGCCAGTTATTAAAAGAGAAATGGTGCATTGTCAGGATGCGATTGTGTGCGATTCAGATGACATCATTCATGTGCTGATAGGTCTCATTCATTCACTTGCGCCACTCCAGATATGACAAACAAACCAGGCACACATCTCCTACACTAACGTTCCAGAAAATAAACTAACTCTTTCAGCTCCAGGGGCCAAAACCCCACATATTTGGTGCAGGGTTCAAAATTTCTCCACCAAACCAGTAATCTACCTTATGCTAGCCTGTCCTATGCGCCAGAACTAGCCAACACCAGGGAAAACAGAGAAGACCCGTTCTGATTGTTCAGGGAAAACAGAGAAGACCCGTTCTGAGGAACTGAGCCCACAGCAACAATCTAGTGTAATGGCGAGGAAAGCCCAAAGGTATGCAGAAGCACAGCACCACAGACCCTTAGGGTCAGTCTCAGAGATGAAGACGTAGCAGCTGACTTTATCTGGCCTCCAAATAAATGTCGGAAGGAGCACGGGGAGGGCACTTAACTAGTACCATTAGGAGCTTGAGACTTAGTCCTCGCCCAGGTGTTAGCTTGCTAAAACACTATTCTGAAGAGATAGTCCGGAGCTTTAGCCTTCACAGAGAAACAACAGTCAGGATGAGATGATATATCACCAAATAAGCTACTTTATTCAGCGCTGAAAATATAAGATCAACCTTGAAGAGGCTTTTAAAGATTGAAGTAAGAGGAAGATACGCTACAGTTTCAATGTAGTCTCTCTCTCTCTCTTGCTGTGATTAAAATATGCGGCTGGTCTTGGAGGCTCTAAAGCAGCTTGTATAAAAATCATACTAATAACATTCACAGTAATGGAACTTTTAGTCAAAGCTGGGCTGTCTGGTTTCTTTTGCTTTCCCGTGAGTCTTCCTTGGGCCCTTTTTTTCTCCATTCTGCTCCATATAGAGTTTGCTCTTTCCTTTATTAAAAAGAAATGGCTATCCCCACTGAGTCACTTATCTAATAATAGCTAGAACCTTTCCATACAAATGATTTGATTCCTCCCTTTTTTTTTTTCCTTAAGTAAACATACAGTTAGGGTATTACTGTATTACTGGGAGAGTGGTAATAGAAATACCATGGTCAAATTATCCCGTGACTCAATTTTGCAAAGCGCACTGAATCTTTTTTAATGCATTTCACAAGTACTTGGTGGTGACCTCTAACACCACTGTGGTTTCTCTTTTACAGTAGCTCAATTTTGCAACTCTGAATACTTTTTCTTTGAAGGGAAGCTACCCAAAGGCTTTTATAAAACATTCTTTAGCCTTTGGGAATGCGCCAATTTAATGCAAGGGTATCATTCCCTTTCAAAGAGCTGAAGGATTTGAGGAAACACAGCCTGCTTTCTGAACAGCACGAGATGAATATAGTTGTGGTTTCATTAGAAAGCAAGCTACAGAGTTTGGATACAGATCTAAACTTTTTTAAAATTGAGCAGGAGCCAGATCCAGGCTCTTAGTTTGTTAGCTGTATTTCCCTGCAGCATTCATTTTGCAACAACCCCTTGCACTGAGCCTGCTCCTGCGCATGTGAGCACATGCGTCAGGGGGAGCTGGCAAAGGACACTGCTGGCAGCCAACGTTTCTATCAGTCACTGGCCTTAAAATGGCAGGGGAGGTCCCTCAGGAGAGGCAGGAATCACCGACAGAAAGTGTTAGCCCTTATTTTCAGCTGTTACATCACTGCGTCTGAGAAAACGTTGGAGAAAGGACTGACGTTGCTTGAAGCTAACAGGCCCTGCCCGGTCCTTATGCAAGGTCACAGGACAGTCCTGAGACGTGATCTGCTTCACAAGGCCTCGCAGAGAGTAACTTTTGCAACCATCACATTTCTTTTCTGTCACCCCTATCGCAGTGCTTCATTTCCATAAGGTCTCTGATAGGAATAGGGCAAAATACTCATGCCATTATGATGCAGGCTGGAGAAAAGTTATTTTTTTATGTTAGAACATGGGGGAAAAGAAAAACAGGCTTCTGTGTAATTAACAGAGTAACGAGCCCAGCAGTTCTGGGCAGACAGCATAATGCATGCTCTGTTTGCTTTGAAGATCAGCTTGTTTTTAAGTACTAATTTTATATTTTCTATTGAAAAACAGGGAGGAGTACAGGGAATAAACTTGCAGTGATCCAAGGGGCAAATAAAAAGTTCTGCAAATGCCTCCTTAAAGCTACAGTCATCTCAGTTCCCATGCAAAGGAGCATCCGCACTCAGCAGCTACAGGTATACAAACATCTCCATCCATCACTTCACAGCACACAGCAGAGCCAGACCAAAAAAACCTGCCAGAGCCACCGAGACGCTCATTCACATCTAGCTTTATTTTATCCCGTCAGAAAAGTTCAAGAATTACACCAAAAATACTTCAGTCTCTGCTACCTACTGACAAAAAATACACCACAAAATTATAAACTGTTCAGTGGTTTGCTGGAGTTTTGATTTCTGGTGGAGGGAGCGGTTTGTACATTTTGAGTGAAAAATGAATTTACAGGTGGAAGAGGAAGGAAGGATAGGAAGTCAGACAATGGCATTTGGCACTACATTTTTAGCTACACTATACAGTTATTTACCATGATGCCTGTTAGGACTGAGGAGTTCTGCCCTCATTTACACTCTCTAGTGTCTATGTATGCAAAATGGAGGACAAAACTGCCCAATGTAGGGGAGGAAGGGGTCGGTTCCTAATTTCCATCCCAGTCTAGTGACAAAGCTGAACAAGCAGCCTTAGTAAAACGTGGCCTTGCCCTCCACATGCGTCTGCTCCTGCTGCTCAGTCACTCACACTGCCTGCCAGACCAAGGAACAGAACCAGCTTGCAGCAATGGGCCAAGCAGCAGCTCCGGGAAAGAGAATCCCTTTTTGACCGAGCACTATAGCTCCCACCAGTCTGCACTAGTTACACATGCCGTCTATGGAGAGTGGATGTTTTATGGTGTCCAGGACTGGACTAAGCTTGCAGTCTGGTTTGTGTTTGCAGGCAAAGATTCAATGAGACCTTGTACTCTAAAAACTTTGCTACAGCCTCCCTCTCCATCTACTTTGAATGACATTAAACACTAAAGTATCTGAAGCTGAAGGAGGGGAGGAGGAGCATCCTCATTTGATAGGTGAGGAGAAAATTAGGAGCTGAGAAGTTAGAGGCTTAATACAGTTGACATGCTACCACCACATTTGAGAGGCACCTCGTTTCATCAAGAGATTTCTTTTGTCTCGTGGTGACCCTCAGTATGCAGGTCCCAAAGAATGAAGACATGTAACATGCCAAAGGTCTTACAGGAAAGCCGTGCCAGAAGCAGAAGTAAAGCCCTGATCTCCTGTCTTCCAACCCCATGCTGGGAAGTGTATTCACAATTTCACTATGGTGGCGTCCTTCTGCTCCCACCCTGTGCCATATCCAAATACTAAGCAGGACTTGATCGGCAGAACTCACCCAAGATCAGCAGCACAGTGATGGCTCGTTACGAATGCCTAGATTGTTCTGGATTTACTTAGGCCTCTAGGCAGGGGGTGGGGGGTGGGTGGGTGTGGGTGGGTGGGTGTGTATGTGTGCGTGTGTGCGCGCGCGCGCATGTGCGCGTGTTTGAGGGAGGAGGGGAGGCATGTATTTCTCCATCAGCAAATGAACACTGATACTGGATTCAATTTGCAGCAAAATGCTCCTCTCCCCACCCCATTTTGGCAAGCTAAACAACACTTCAATGTGGTTTGTAAGAGGTTCTACCTACCCCCTCTCTCAACTATTCTTTCATTGCATGTTACACCTATGTCACAACTTTCCAGCAATGATACAACTTTGTGGGATTCTCTTTGCTGCTTTTATCCTCTCTGGCTGTTTATCTAATTTGCTTTTTTTGTTTTTTAATTTCTTTTTCTAACAAATAGTTAAGCAATGATTTAAAAATATTTTTACATCGTAAGGTACAATCAACATCAAACATGCCTTTGTACAAGAGCTGGACTCAGTTACAAATCAACGAGAACAATGCACAAAAAGAAATATCCATTAAGATGACTCCTGAACTTGGATTTTATTTATTCTTGTCATGCTGTTAGCACAGCGCCCTCTCTCAACTAGAGCAATGCAGTATAGACATGGTGTTGTTTCCCCACCCTCCCGCTTTCCCATCACCACTCGTTAACTTTAATGACCTTCTGTCTTGGCAGCCTTGGCTTCGTGGTTTACCGATCCTGAAGAAAGCCAGGGAGATACAGACCGGGAGCTGGTTTGCTTAGCCATGCTGTAGTGGCTGATGACAGTGTAGAATCTGCCCCGGGAGTTTGAATCCTGTGCTGAGTAGTATGCATCCAGGGAGGCCGGGATGCACCGCTTATGCTAGAAAGAGGGAGAGAGCAAGAAAAGTAAATAGAGGTCCCCTCAGGCCCAGGTCATTCTGAAAATCTCAATGTCAGTAGTTTGCAAGGATGAAGTTTGACTCAGGTCTGCTGCAGTAAGCCTGTCTGTGCAAACCCTACCGCTTTTCATCCGCTATGGGAATGCACAAGCTTCTCTGATAAGACTGGGTCAGCTGCCTTCCAAATCTGTTGCTATTGGCAACCCTGATTGCAGGCTGATTCGTTCATGGATTGGAAAGGGGGATTGTAAAATGAAGGTCTGCCTAGTTCAGTACATTACTGGCATGCAGAGATTAAGGCCCCTTGCTGGAGTCCTAGCAGGGCATAATGGGCTGCTCCTATTACGTGCTGGATTGCAAGCTCTGTGGAGTGAAGTCCAGAATTAATCCTCAGACAGGTAGAGGACAGGCAGAGGCAGAGTAAGCTTCTTACATGCTGCTCTGTTACAGTGTGTTATCTCTGACCTGTAGGATGACCACCTTGAGAGGTGATGGTAGGAAGTGTAGCTCAACTGGCTAGTGCTTTTCAGAGCTTCTTGTCTGTGCAGACACTGGCAATGAGTCTCCTCTCTGCCAGTCTGGACACTTGTATGCTAAGAACTGCACAGATAAAACAATTCATTTTGCAATAGCTATAAAAGAGCAATCAAATAGTAACAAACGTTGGACCAGAGTCAAAGTAGCACCAAGGCCACAAAGGGCCTCAGGAGCGATTACGATTAAACTGTGAGATAACTTAACTCCCAATTCAATGTGACTAGCCAAAATCTGAGTCCAAAATCTTTAATCTTTTCAGAAGTTCAGGTTTAGATCTGATTCTGAAATTCATGATTCAGTCCCAACTCCACTTTTATATAACCTAAGAGAATAATACACAATGACTAATACACCAACACGCTTGCTTACTCTATTTTTCAGCTCACAGACTACCCCCATGTAGTCAAGACTCCTGTGAGTTTAGGAGTTTATTCTCAGCAGTCAGTAAACTATTTTGCAAGCTTTTTTCTTTTAAATGTCAATAGACCAGGCAAAACATTCTTTGTGGATATTTGATATAAACTCACCGGATAGAAAGGTTTAAGCAATTAAGTTACATGGTTTTCTTCCTAATGGAGGCTGAAAAGCACCTCAAAAAGTGTACTATGTGGGTAAATTTGGATTTCTTTCACAATGGATGCATGTGCCAGCACTCAGGGAGTTTGCTTTGCATTAAAACGTATGCCAGTAAACCTCAGTCACTTGAATGTGTGGGAAGCAAAAGCAGGATTCCAGCTGCAATAAATCCATTCACAAATGTGAGGGATTGATCCTGAACATCTGTCTGCAGCGTTCACCAAATGCTAATCCCAACAATTACAATGTAACAGTAGCTGACAGAGGCAGATGCAATTCCACATTTCCCATAACACTTTTCCCATTTCAACACATTCTTGCCAAATCTTCTGTTTGGCCTGGTCAAAAAAGCAGACTAGACTGTAACCATGTAGTCAATTAGAGTCTATCATTATCTCAGGCAATTCATCCTTCTGAAGTTTCTTACCTTATAAACAAATCCATCTGGGCAACTGTGGTCGTAAGTAAAAGCTTTGTATACCACAAGAAACACTATGCAGGCAAGGAATGCAAGAGCCAGACTTATGAGAATAGTGACCTACAAAAGAGGGATAACATTACTCTACATATGTTAAAATGGCATATGAGCAACCTCATAATTAAATGACTTACAGTAACATCCATCCTAACAGACTGCAGTCTTCACTCTACTGTGCAGTACTTAACTAAGCATGGTAATTGAATGAATGCTACATTCAATAGCCCTGAATTCTGACAATGTTTCCTCCTCTGCCCCCCTTAGACTTTCAGTAGTGCATATTCTTGTGTTTTACGCCTTGCAAATTTGTGTTTTGCTAAGGCATTTGGTGTTCTCAGAGGCTTTGTGTTCCCATGCTCTCAGCTGTTCAACAGAAAGCATCATCTGCTAGCCCAGCAGGATCAACCAGCAGCCACCCAGAGTCAACATGCATGGTCCAAACTGTGCAGATAAGGCTGCCTTATAGCCTTGATGAGTTCCTGGTTTTCTGACAGCAGAGGTAGGTGAGCAAGTACGAAGAATAAAGCCTTTGTAACACATGTCCCTTTGTGCTTTCTGGGTGATGCTAAAGTTTAAATCCTGCCTCAAGTCGCTTGCAAAAGGGAGGGCGGGAGAGAGGGAATCCTTCTCTATTTATCAAAGCTGTAAAAGGAGACTACCACAACTATTGACAAAGGCCAGCAAGCACATCCCGCAGTAGTTCCAAGAGCAGGCAGGCTGCAGGCATGGCCGTTGTCTCTGCAAGCCTCCCAGATCCCATTGCTGGAGACACCCGACACAATAAGATTTTAGGGCCCCAATATTCCTCCTCTCCCCATTCCCGAGCTGCTGTTCCCATTGCTGAACTGTTTTGTTTCTTTACTGCAGCTCCCTTCTCTAAAAGCCATCCAGGTATCCATTAAACGAACTTGTTGGCCTCATTGAAATGTTTGGACTAAGTCCCTGATCCCTGATTTTGAGCTGAGCTCGCAAAGGAATGAGCAAGAGTCCCAAATGCACTGTTGTTCACCTAGGGAGAGGTTCAAGTTCGTAATCACTCTATCAGAGAAGTTCCACTAGGGTGCATGTTTTAGTTCAAACATCTGGGTCAGCATCAGCTCCACCTCCCTCCTCCCCTTCCCCAAATCTGTCTTGGTCCCAACTGGTATTCAGCAAATGCAGGGCAGAACGCTCTGTACTTGTATTGCCTAAATTACAACAACCCATTCTGTCAAGGCTGCTGTCTCACACTGATCCGGATCGGCATAAAAAATAGTGGAATCCCCTCCAGTGCTACCATGCAAACTGGAGTTCATAATCAAATGAACTCACTTACTGAAATAACGAGGCAAGAACAGCAACAGAGGAAACATTTAAAATTGTTGCATGGGCAACAGCGTGGGCAGTTAGCAGCAGCAGTTCCCCAGCTGCCTTTGGCTTGCTGGGACTGGGCATCAGCAGCATCCATTTTTCAGGGTGTTTGCCTGCATTGGGAAGAGACTGCAATGTTCTTGTGCTCTGTGAGCCAGTGTGGGAGCTTAAATTAATGAAATTCCTATAGCAAAAGGACGAGGTCAGGTGTGAGTTTACTCTAGGGATAGCGATTAATGAGGGGTTTTACTTGCCCCCATCTCCATCTGTTTGCTCCTGAGTTCCACTTTCCCACCAGGGCACCAGGAGCCCACTCCTGGGCTGCAAGTTCTCCCCAACCACTGGTCACACTGAGACCCCTCAGCCGAGAACCTTAGTGGTAGGCAGGTAGTGCACACTTGCCCTCAGCTAACATCCCGTGCTTGCAAACATGTTGCATGCAGCCACACCATGCAACCCAGGGATGTGCTCACCCTCATGAACGATCCTCCAGACAAAAAAACCCACCCCTAGTCTCAGGGCTGCATCTACTTGTATTAAAGGCAGTCATTATTGCTTACTGCCCTAGCAAGGAAAAAATACAAATTTTTTAGCTCTATCTAGTTATCCAGCTATTTGTTCAGCCACCCTTTTGTTGTTACAGTTATGTTGTAATCATCTTTATTTTCTTGTACGGGTGTCTAAGGAAATTCAACAGCAGGTAAAGGTAACAGCAGGTCCTTCACCAAAATATGTAGGAGATTGGTCATGGCAGAAATTCGGGAAGTACAGAGGTAATTCCTCCAGTATATCAGACAGCGAACAGCAGCTTATGAAAGGCAAGTTGGGCATATCTCAGAATTCATCAATATAATATTATTAATAATATTAATATAACAATAATATTATGTAATATTAGTAGTGTATCAGTAAAGATATAATAAATGCTTAATGTTGATTACCATTGAATTTTTCTCTGATTCTCTGCTTTGGTCATTGTAGCAGCTGTAGTTCTCAGAACCTATATGACATGGAATCCCTGCACAGACTCAGAGGCCGCTGTAATTGCTTGCAATGCAAGAAGAGACTTCTCACTCTCATCAATCCTATAGAAAGATGTGCTGCCTGGTGAGATGTATTCCTAAGCACATAGAGCATTGGGACTATTACTGACAGAAGCTAAAGTAGTCCTGGCAATGCCACCTGCAATGCTGAAACACCCAGAGCTACAGTTTTGGTGGCTGTTTTAGGAAGAGGAAACGAAAGAGTGAAGTTAACTCTATATCCACTGGTAAATCTGACCCAATGCATCCGTTTCAAAATTCAGGAAATAGAGAGGTATGGAGATTATGTCTGGCAGGAGAGATTCATAAGTTCATTGTTAAGTCAGAATGTTTTAGAATAACCTGTAAAAAGATAAGAAGATTGGGGCTAATGGGCTTTCCCAGAGATGAATAGTTCACTGAAGCCCCGACCCTCGTTTTAGCATAATTATTGACATTAACCTCCTCTGCAGAGCCTGCTGCAAAGGGGGTCAATTAAGCAAAAGGTAGCTTCAGACAGAAAAGCACGTACTGCTGGATTTCATCAAAGGACATGTGTAAGAGAATCCTAGTGCACTTAAAAACTAGATAGTAGACAGGCGGTACAGTTGTATGATTTCACTAGTCTGACCAAGAAAATAGGTGCTCCACTTCTCTAGCAATGTAGATTTGCATGCAAATTTGAATGGAAATATTTCAGGTTCCCAACCCGAGGAAGCAATCTCCCCTTCTATACTGCTGAAAAGGAAGATGCCTCAGTTGGAAAGAGAATTTGCCATGGTTTCTGCCCCCAAAAGAAGTTAGATTACACCTGAAAAAATGCAAAAACGTCACTTACTTAAAAAAAAAAAAAAAAAAAGATAGTCAAAAGGAGCGACCTCCTGGATGAAGTATGCCAGTACTGTCTACTTTTCCAATAGAAGACCAGGGAAGAAGACCACTTTCAAGTATGATCCATCACAACTCAGCTCTGACAAGCCAACATGGAAAAGTATTTTCCCTTGTAGAATAAATGGCCATCAACTCTTCCTCAATTAAAATAAGAGTGTGCTAGGCCTGGCACCTCCTCTGATAACAATCTCAGTAGTGTCACAAAGATGACAATGCCACAAGTCCCCTTCAGAGTTAGTTTGAAGGCACTAAAGCAAGACGAGTATGTTGCTCTACTGAAACCAATGTTCAGAGAGCAATCCTGGCCAGAAATTCAGAAAACAAGAACCACTCAGCTTTCTGGTATGGCTGTTCTGCCTTTATTACAATGTACGGTGAATGAAGAAATCTCACTTGGATTAACCTGAAGGAACAAACCAGGCCTTAGGGAAAAGGGAGAAACAAATGGCACTGAAATTACACTGAATACTATCCGGGAATGCATAGAATGACACTCAGACAGAAAGCACCTCTTGTTTCTGTAAACCAAGAAGCTGCTTGTCCCCTAGCCATTTTTAGTAAATACAACCTTCCTCACCAGGGCTGGCTAAAGCCACCCACATGCAGGCACACACACCCGCTGCACACATTACTCCTGCTTCCCTAGCATCTATTTTTTTCTTTTCTCCCTTCTGCATCAGTTTCCTCCACCCCAGAGGGCTCCCTCAGGGCCGACTGTGCCTAGAGAAGAGAACATGAAAGGATAATAGCCCCTGGACTGAGGGATAGATATCTCTCTCACCCTGAATGATTTCCTTGTCTGCCTTCCGTAAGATGGCCACCAAAGTCGCCTTCAACTCTTCTCACTCTGAGCTAGCTGAAGTGGTCAAGTTCTCCCTTTATCCTTTAAGAAAGAAAGAACTGAGCTGTTTGGGGCTAGAATGAATTTCCCTTGTATTGTTAAATCCCATGTACATGCACCACCTATGGAAACGACCATTAGTAAAGGGGCAGGACTGGTTCCTTTTCTCGTCTGCCCACCAAGTCCCTAAAGATAATAAATTCCCTTCTGCTCTGCTGCTCTGCTCCGGTGCTCTGCTCCAGCAAAAGTGCTGACACCCATTTCATTACCTCCCAGGAGCAGGTCCCTCTCCTGAGCCTTCTCCTCCCTCCTGGGTGTAATTGAGCCCATTCTCACCTCCCTCCTGCCGTTTCATGCACTTGCACTATTACAGCGTGACACAATATTACACATGATGATACATAGTGTGAAATTGCTCTAGGATGAAATGTCATGTAAGATGTTAAAAACCCAGAGGAAAGGGAAGAAAAATCCACCCCCGGCTATTTTGCCAAGCCAGAGCTAAGATCCACCTGTCTAGCTATTCTAGAGAATACAAAGCTTCATTAACATTCAAACACCAAAGAATCACAGAGCTGCAATACCTAATAAACCTCCACTTTTTTTTATGAATAACATGAACCTTGGCAGTCTCTAAGCAATATAAACATTCACAGAGGGGAAATAAAATTTACTGAGCAGATAAAATCTAGGAGTGCTGCAGGCATGAATCTGTCATGTGTGACTGCTCTACTGGGTAAATGAAGGGGGTTTTTTTGCCCTCCCCATCCCCAAGGCCGTATATAGTGCCCAGAGTTTCACATAAAAGGGGGCGTCTGCCGGAATGAAGAAAAGAGAATATTGCTACCATACTAAAAATTCCCCTACTACCACAAAACACGGAAAAAGGTTTGATCTAAGGTCCTTTACATCAATGAAAGATTATGTCAGCTTCCCATCAACAACAGCACACCTGG